GGGGGGGGGGCTCTCTGTACTTTAAACGACGTTCGTCAGGAGCAATGCAAATAAGTCTTCCGGGACTCGTTCTGCGATTCTTCGGGACACAAATTTCGCGTGATTATTTACGCTCGAGTGCCTCCTTCGAGATGTTACATTTATGATGTTGATTTTACGAGGAGGGCTCTTTGAGTGTTTACGGACTGTCTCATTAGCGGGACAAGTAAAACTTTGTTGATGCGCGCCTGTCGTCTTGCATCGATGTTCAAATAATACGAAAAGGCAGTTAAAGTTCAAAAGGAAGACATCTAAAACATGGAATGTCTCGGAACAAATATATTTATAATCGATACTATAAATATAAAATCACTTATCAATTAGTATCTTTTCTTTAATATCTCAATCTTTTTTTAAAATTATTTTTTTTCTTTTAAATGATATTTAATTCTCTAAATATTTTATTAATTATTGTTGTTTTATCAAAGATATATTACATTGTTAAAACATTTTCTTAATTTTCTTTGTCATTTATATTATTCATAATTAATGATAAAATAATATAATATAATAAATGAGCTTTTGGACACACAATGGAAGCATCGAAAGAAGCATGAATCGACAAAAATAAAATCTGAAATATATTACATTGGAGAAACACACACATACATATGAATTATTGCAGCTGCGTATACGCGTAATTGTTTTTTGCGTGACGTGCGGTCTTAGATTCTCCGGTTTACGGAACGATAAAAAGTGGTACGATAAAGTGGATAGCATTGGATCTCTTACATCGAGCACTTTCGCGAATCCTTTTGTTTCTCGAAACGAGAGAAATATTCTCTCTTATACCATTGTTCCGCCCGGGAGCTTAAATGTAACTTCGAGTGGAGTTGGCGGTGAAAACAAAGAGGGTTTACACGCGCGCGATACTACAGAGTGCACAAACGTCAACGTCATCGATCGCTCGAAACGAAACGTCCTCGGCAGAGCTCGATCGAAGCAACAGCTATTCCGCGAGTTTTCCACTGCGTGACAGAGCGAAGAGGGTACAGTTTGGGATGTCGAGTCCACCAGCTCGTAATTACTAGGTCGAGTGGAGTGTGAAACGATGTATATACGTACAGGAAGCGCACCAATGCTTCCTGTGAAATTGGAGTGCTGCCAGAGTACCGGCGTTTCAATAACCATCTTTTGCTGTTACCATCTTTGTATATGTCTTTCAAAATAGATGTGTTCCGTCGTGCGAACACGGGTCATTAATTACTAAATATCATTCTTCTCGCGTATACAAAGTGTCCCAGATCAGCCCTACCAGCGTTTTTTTTTTCGAATTCTTTTAAAGATGACAAAGACTCTCGACAGTCTCCGTGTTAATAGCGATTTAAATTGAAGAGCTTTAGCTTTGGAAATTTAGTTTTCAAGGAATGTAAGCAGGATAAAATCACGTTCTCTATTTAATCTCGAGTAAAATTAGTTGTACCACAGGACTTTAGTATAAAGTTTTTATACTATAAAATTGTCAAGGGGTAATTGTTAAAATTATAAAACATGTAAAATAAGATATCACTTAAAGTCTTTGAGATAATATTTATAAAAGACTGAAGATATAATCGAAGAAAAATTCATGGCTGGAAGATAATTGATACAAGAAAAAAAAATATAAATATCGGACGATATTATTAGCGATGTTTTGTTCCAATAGCACAAAAAGACAATTATATTCATGTAGTGATTAGCTGTATACAATGATTATAACATTGTCAAATGATGATTAAAAAATGTGACGATTATAAAATGCAGATAGAAGCAAGATAATTTTTTTCTCTTTTTTTCTCTTTTTTTTCTCTAAAATGTGACGATTATAAAATGCAGATAGAAGCAAGATAATTTTTTTCTCTTTTTTTTCTCTTTTTTTCATGTCTGGAATAGCATGCTCGCATATATTTTTCACGAAACAATTAATATATTTTAAATTACATTCCGTACTACGTGCCATGTTTTACAATGATATTATGACATTTAAACGTCATTCCTGCCACATTGTATTTTCCATTTAATTATAAATAAATGATGCTGCCAGAGCGTCCTTAATTACCTGCACCTGCTATGATTTAAATAAGAGACGCAGAGTTTGAATAGAGTCGCGTTGTAGAATCCAGATGGAATGAGAGATTGAGTTTTCTCACTTTGGCGAATTTTATCGGGCACACAGAAGAGCGTAGCCGATAACTATGGCCATGAACTTAATTAATTGAACATCATCTTTAGCTGGCACTTCGTTTCGCTTCTGACTGCGCTCGGAATTGTCCAATAATTCTGATA